ACAACACAGTCAGGTCACCACTAGAGATGACAAGACCTGCATTGTGTATATAGCTATCATGGTTATACAACACAGTCAGGTCACCACTAGAGATGACAAGACCTGCATTGTGTATATAGTTATCATGGTTATACAACACAGTCAGGTCACTACTAGAGATGACAAGACCTGTGTTGTGTATATAGTTATCATGGTTATACAACACAGTCAGGTCACCACTAGAGATGACAAGACCTGCATTGTGTATATAGCTATCATGGTTATACAACACAGTCAGGTCACCACTAGAGATGACGAGACCTGCGTTGTGTATATAGTTATCATGGTTATACAACACAGTCAGGTCACCACTAGAGATGACAAGACCTGCGTTATGTATATAGTTATCATGGTTATACAACACAGTCAGGTCACCACTAGAGATGACGAGACCTGCGTTGTGTATATAGTTATCATGGTTATACAACACAGTCAGGTCACCACTAGAGATGACAAGACCTGCGTTGTGTATATAGTTATCATGGTTATACAACACAGTCAGGTCACCACTAGAGATGACAAGACCTGCGTTGTGTTATCACTGTTATACAACACAGTCAGGTCACCACAAGAGATGACGAGACCTGCATTGTGTTATCACTGTTATACAACACAGTCAGGTCACCACAAGAGATGACAAGACCTGCGTTATGTATATAGTTATCACTGTTATACAACACAGTCAGGTCACCACAAGAGATGACGAGACCTGCGTTGTGTTATCACTGTTATACAACACAGTCAGGTCACCACTAGAGATGACAAGACCTGCATTGTGTTATCACTGTTATACAACACAGTCAGGTCACCACAAGAGATGACAAGACCTGCGTTATGTATATAGTTATCACTGTTATACAACACAGTCAGGTCTCCACAAGAGATGACAAGACCTGCGTTGTGTATATAGCTATCATGGTTATACAACACAGTCAGGTCACCACTAGAGATGACGAGACCTGCGTTGTGTATATAGTTATCATGGTTATACAACACAGTCAGGTCACCACTAGAGATGACAAGACCTGCGTTGTGTATATAGTTATCATGGTTATACAACACAGTCAGGTCACCACTAGAGATGACAAGACCTGCGTTGTGTTATCACTGTTATACAACACAGTCAGGTCACCACAAGAGATGACGAGACCTGCATTGTGTTATCACTGTTATACAACACAGTCAGGTCACCAAAAGAGATGACAAGACCGTCGTTGTGTTATCACTGTTATACAACACAGTCAGGTCACCACTAGAGATGACAAGACCTGCGTTGTGTTATCACTGTTATACAACACAGTCAGGTCACCACAAGAGATGACAAGACCTGCATTGTGTTATCACTGTTATACAACACAGTCAGGTCACCACAAGAGATGACAAGACCTGCGTTGTGTTATCACTGTTATACAACACAGTCAGGTCACCACAAGAGATGACGAGACCTGCGTTGTGTTATCACTGTTATACAACACAGTCAGGTCACCACAAGAGATGACAAGACCTGCGTTATGTATATAGTTATCACTGTTCTACAACACAGTCAGGTCACCACAAGAGATGACAAGACCTGCGTTATGTATATAGTTATCACTGTTATACAACACAGTCAGGTCTCCACAAGAGATGACAAGACCTGCGTTGTGTTATCACTGTTATACAACACAGTCAGGTCACCACAAGAGATGACAAGACCTGCGTTATGTATATAGTTATCACTGTTATACAACACAGTCAGGTCACCACAAGAGATGACAAGACCTGCGTTATGTATATAGTTATCACTGTTATACAACACAGTCAGGTCACCACAAGAGATGACAAGACCTGTGTCAACACATGTGAAAGGCATACCCATACCCCTACAAAATTGTGGATGTGCCAATCATTCCTATTTATTGGAGTCCCAATGCAGGTCTCGTCAAGTCATGAAGTAGTCAAGCTTTGCAATGTCCTGTCTGTCTTGCATAACTGTGATATATTTAAAACAACTTGACTGAATCAATACAGTGATCACAGGCCTACCAACAAAACCAGCATGGAGCAACCAAACTTTGGAAATATGCACACTGTAAATTGAATTAGCCACAAAAATGACAAAACAAACACAATCCTGATAAAGTTTGCATCGTAATGACTGAAACCCACCACATTTTTAATAGAGACAATGCACACTTGGTTTGTTGCGGTCTGTGTGATTTACTGTGTTTGGTTCAAGTGAAAATGTGTGGACTTTAATCATGCGATACAAGCTATATTCCATAGTTTGGTTGGTCTCTGATGGTTTTCTTTGGTAGACCTGTATTAACAGGTTTGAAATGAACATATGCAAGCTGGTCCGATACTAGTAAAATTTAAGATGGACTAGTGACATTTATTTGTAGACTACAGCTTTTACCATTTACAGCTTTTATCATTAGGTTGATTGCAACTGTGTAAGTAATTTTTGTGGACTTGTAGAAAATCAAAATTAATTTCCAACCGTAACCAACTGCTAACCAATTTTCTGAATAGGTACCCTGTGACATCTAGCAGCCTGAGATCTGTGCGCAGTAGCATTCCTTGTGTGAGAGTAGCGCTGTCACCTGTCACAGTATCTCACACATGGCTGGCAGGTGTGTTATTCCACACGTGCAGTACGAGCAAAGTCAAACTACATGTCGCATTCAAGATTATTGCACTTACATAGCAACATGCACACACGCATGTGTGTGGCTGCTTGTACTTGTCCAGACTAATGCCGTTTTATGGTGCTGAGATACTATGATACCATGAGATACCATGCCGCAGTTTAACAAGGAGCTCCAAGCAGGGTAACAGGCATCTTCCTGAGGCAAGGGAGTTAACTGACTATTAAAGTCCAGTTTCCACCCTTGCCGAACTAGGCTGGAATTATGATGTTATATTTTGGCTGGACTAATGAGTCTATGTATAGTCGAATCAAAATTGCATAACGAAATCAACATCTGGTTCGTGAACAATGTGTACCGTCAACCGTCGACAGATATGTTCCAAATCTTTTCATGTTTTTAATCAAAATGCTCACGTGATTTGATGCATTTACGTGAGGTAAGGCCCGTTATATCACAATATAGATCTTGATCATCGATCAGATCATCTTGACTGGGCGCCGCCATTTTGTTTGAAGCAAATGCAAGTGATATGAGAGGTGGAATCTGATTGGTCAATAGGAGGGGCATAGAAGGGGCCTATCTCATAATAGCTACTGATGGCGCTATGAAAATCCAGCCCAGTTTGGCAAGGGTGGAAACTGGACTTTTAGAATCAGTTAACTCCCTTGCCTCGGGAAGATGGGTAACAGGAAGGAGTATTTATAAGAAGGGTGGGGATCAAGGGATGGGGGGATGTAGGAGGGAGAATGGGGGTAGGGAGTGTAGGACAAGGTCATATAAACAAGGACTGAAGGAAATCCCCAGTTCATACTCTACACGCCATTTGTGAAGGTCCATGGACCACAATGTGTACTACAGAGGGGGTTCGGGGAAGATATCCCATGTCTACCATCACAAGGAACAGAGACAGTCTCCGGCTCCCTGTACTTCCACCACCTCAGGCTATCTCCAACATATTACTACCCTCGCCTCCCTCTATCTGATAAATCACCATCAAACACACATTTGATACGTTAATAAAGAGTAGTGCTGTGTGCTCCACATTCCTCGATCATGCATCACACAAAGAGGAGTACTGAATGGTACAACTCCTGCAATCTCAGGCAATTATCATGTGCGCAATTATTTATTATGTATCTCGTTTTACCATGACTGTAGCGACATGTGGTATAGAAAACTTATCTTTCAGATACTAACTGGTAGTTGATGATAGGAGAATTAACACCACTGCCTGGCTGCAGCAACCACACACAGGCACTGCACTGATGTGCTCGTCAAGAACTAAATCATCTTTGATACCATCTTTGGAAATTGGGTGCAGTAAATTTTAATGTCATTTTGGTTTTTGATCATGTTCAACATGACTGAAATATCACACATCAATCAGATTTCCAATTGATTTCTATGGCTTAAGTTTTTTTCCCTGTATTTGACTTGAGAAATATATCATTCAGCAGGCTTAAATCACTCCATGTTTACATCTTTTTATTGGCAGTGGGTAGCAGTAAATTTTAACATCATTTTGTTTTTTGATCATGTTGAACACAAGACTGAAATATCTTCCATCTGACTGTACAGTGTATTTAGATGAGCATTTGATATCAATCACTTGTTTAAATGCTTAAGTCTGAAACATTTTCATTGGCAGTGGGTAGCCCACTGTTTAAAGCGTTGGCTCATCATGCCAAAGACCTGGGTTTGATTCCCAACATGCATTTATGAAGCTATAAATGTAAAATAATGCGGATATACACAGAGTGAATGCTATTCTTTTCACATGTATACCTCCATAAACACAAAAAATATTGAAGTCAATTTGTAAATAGAGCTGGGAATGAACAGGCATGTCATCATCTTAAAATTTTATAATTGGTTTGTTCCAACTGATCAATCCTCAATTACAAGCAGTCACAAATATCTTGTGCATTTTCAAATATTCCAGTACCTGCCTGTACCATATTTATCGTGATTTGAAATTCTAAAATGTTTACATCCAGGCTTGAAATTGATTGCACATTAACAATGTCATCATGATAACTGATGTCTGTGTTTAATAGGAGTTACGTGCAATTCTGTATGTCCTGAATGATCAATCATTGATTGTATTCAATCATCAGAACATACCAACAATACAAAACTATTTTCTCAAAGGGGATTCTCTCTTATCCAACTTAAGAGCCTACATATCCTGTTTATATCAATATCATGTTATTATTCTGAAAAAAGTAAATCTACAAGTATAATAATTGTTTTTAATAATACAAATATCCATGGAAAAGTCACAAGTAAGATTAGGGAACAATAACAATGTTACATTGATCCTCTTACCTTTCAGCATAAGGACCCCCTCTCTGTCAGTGATAACTATAGCATAGAGGCCATCAACCCTGCAATCAGAAACAGTGCAATCTTGTCAGCAAAACATATTCAATATCAGTGCAACCTGGTCAGCCAAACATATTCCATAACACTGCAACCTGGTCAGCAAAACATATTCCATAACAGTGCAACCTGGTCAGCCAAACATATTCCATAATAGTGCAACCTGGTCAGCCAAACATATCTGATAACGGTGCATCCTTGTCAGCCAAACATATTCCATAACAGTGCAACCTGGTCAACAAAACATATTCCATAACAGTACAACCTAGTCAGCCAAACATATTCTGTAGCCATTCAACCTGGTCAGCCAAACATATTTAATTCCATAAGAGTATAAAATTCTGAATGCTGACCTTGACCTTAGACATATTTTGACAAGAACCTTTCCACGGAGGGACCCATCCTAATGAAGGTATACACTAAGTTTGGTTTCAGCTGCTTAAATAGTTTTTGAAAAAGTGTCACCACACACATTTTTACTTCCGACCTTCTCATTGCATGTGCAAAATGAATGCGTAGTAGGATATCGTCTTGTGACCATACTCTTTGTGCCATATTCAAAGGAAACTACTCCTTACAATCAACTCAAAGATGACCTTGACCTTTGACAATGCTGCTGACATGTGATGTGGTAGGACCTGTAAATCCTGAATGCTGACCTTGACCTAAGAACAATCTTTACTAATTTTTTTTGTGAGTGGTTCCTATCTTGTGTCAATAGTCTTTGTAAGTTGACATTTAACAGTGATTGGGGTCAAATTTCGACAATGCCTTACAGCATAGCTGGATCAAGGATCCATGTGCTCTGGCAAGAAGAAAAAAGGAGCACTGAAGCTCACCTTGTTATGTTGTCAACATCTTAAAATGTTAACAAGGCGTTCACAAAAGTTTATGGGTAACACCTGGCTGATCTCATTGAATGAGCTGACAAAAATTATTTTTTCATGAGCGGTGTTCATCAGAAGAAATCTGTGATCTTAAGTCACAATTGGTGGACCCTGGCGTGACAAAGAGATGCAACTCTGAACAGTAAATATACTTGTGCCTTAGACGACTTGGCCACCTGTGTCTCTAATTTGGTATGAACATGTTGAAGACTGGCATAAATCAGTTATTCTGCAACTTGTGGAATTTAAATGATCAGACATAAAGTGCTCTTTGCCTCGTTTTCCTGACTTCATACATGGAAGAGCCAACATTTTTAGCCAAGGGAGGTAACTTGATAGCCTCACATTCCGCACCTGATTCCATAATCCATGAATGTCATCAGTACAAATTAGCACTGTAAAATCTAGTTTAATTGATTAATTTAAGAACTTTAGTATTTATAAATTACTTATCTCCTGGATATGTACAATTACAATGTGGCAAAAAAGTAAATTCTTCACTTCAGCTCTCTCAACATACATACTGTACTTTAAAAACATTTTCCCACAGATTTCTTAACATTTTCATGCTTATTTTATTCGAAAGTGTTTATTTCACTTTTGCCTTAAATTTCATGATAATGTTATCTTGCATTCAATAAACATTTAATAAACAATTTTCCATCAATCAGTAAGCGATAATGTAGAGAAAAACGTTAAGGTTACCTTGCCCTTCTGTTTCATACTGAGGCTATACACTCATAATTAAACACGTCACAGCAGGGTGTAGCCCCTTATCTCATCTAGGGCACCAATACATCGTTAACATTAATGAAACATGAACAAAAAATTAAATCACAAATATTAGTGAATCTCATAGACACGTTGCATGTTCATGCAATTTGGCGTTCATCCAAACAAGGTTCACCTAGCAAAAACTACACACACATCATTTATCAAGTTTTCAGACCACACATTGGGGAGGATACATTTTCAAAGACGAAATCTGTTCCAAATCCTTAAATGATAATATCCAGGGCCCCGTTCCACAAAGCGATCTTAGCGCTAAGGTGATTGTAACTCCCATTCTTTAACACTGACTTACGACAGTCGTAGCGCTAAGATTGCTTTGTGGAAAGGGGCCCTGGACATCAACCAGTCTGTCGATCTGGACTTCCACAGCTGACACTACAGTGAGTGAGTTGGGATTAACGCTGCTCTAACAGTATTCCAGTTATATGGCAGCATGGCAGTTTGATGTGGGAGGAAAGCCCAAAGTGATGCTGGTCTCAAAAGTTTATCACTTTGGTGAAACCCACAACCATGGGTATGGGGGCGGTCGGGTAGCCTAATGGTTAAAGCGTTTGCTTGTTACACCAAAGACCCGGGTTTGATTCCCGACATGGGTACAATGTGAGAAGCCCATTTCTGGAGTCCCCCGTCATGATATTGCTGGAATATTGCTAAAAGCAGCGTAAAACCATACTCACTCACTCACACACTCACCAGGGGTATGGTGCTGACAAACCTTAATGGGGCGAACCGGGATTTAAACCCACTGTCATAAATAACTCTGTGTTTGTGCCTTGGCTGACTAGCTCTCCTGTCTCTCTGCTGATCTCTGAAATCCTTGTAATTCAAGAGACCTCCTCCGTGGTCTAGTGGTAGAGCGTCCGCCCGGAGAGCGGAAGGTCAAGGGTTTGATTCCCGGCCGCATCATACCAAAAGACGTTAAAAGATGGTACTTGTTGTTACCCTGTCTGGCGCTCGGCATTAAGGGGCTAAAACAAGGACTGGTCGGCTCAGAGTCAGTATACTGTGTCTGAGTGGGGTATTCATGTTAAACTACGGCATGGTATCTCAGTGAGCTAGCACTATAAATCGGCATCGGCATCAGTCTGGACTAGTACAAGCAGCCACACAAACACACACATGTACATGCACGTCGCTATATAAGTGCAATAATCTTGGTTGGACGTTAAACCCCATTTCACCACCTTGTAATTCAAGCTTCTTACAGAGAAGATGTGTCTCGTAATGTACATTATCTATCTTATGCACAGAGCCTAAACAAATTGTCGTTTGAAGTCATTCCGAGTTGTTCAAGACATGGAACAGATCACACACAGGCTATCTCAGAAGCTGATGTAGAGAAGCTACCCATCTGTGTATCTGAACACTCTGACGCCTTATGGATTGTTGAGTAAAATTCAGATAGACCTGAGATTATGCTGTAAATCTAAATGTGTCACCAAAGAATTCAAGTGTTGACCCCTGGTCATGAAATTAATGCAAGTAGCCCTACTTTTGAACTTTGAAAACATATCAGCAAACAATAACACAAGACTGTAGACTTAGAATTACATGACATAGTATAGGGTGATAGCAGTTTGATTGAACAATATAATGATATACAGTAGAACACGGATATAACGAACACGGATATAGCGAACAAACGGATACAACGAACTGTTAAAAAATCCCTGATTTATCTCCTATATTATATCATATAAAATTTACGTATATAACGAACTCTCTACAGCGAACTAACGGATACAGCGAACTGATATCTGATCACCGACAAGCCCATCTATCACTAATTAGTGACGTGTATAGCGAACTGAGAAATCTCACTCAGTGTCAAGTGTCACTGACTATCGGCTGTTTACAATCAGTGGCGAATCAATACAATCAGCGGTGACGGATGAACCTTGTTTAATTTGCATTGTGTTAATCTTACCTGTTCATGTAATCTTGTCTGTAAAACAAACATTAAACATAAAAAAATTACGAGATTGTGTCCAAGTGTCAGATCACTTGCATATGCTATCATGGCGGGCAATAGTAAGAGGAAAGCTATCAGTTTAGACACGAAATTGAGAATTATTAATGCTGTTGATCCAAGATAGCGGACGTTTCCGAGCGAAAACGTGTCTTACGAACAACGGATATAACGAACTGATTTCTCTGGTCCCTTGTGGTTCGTTATATTCGTGTTCTACTGTGTTAGCTATCTTCAGAAACTTAACTTCTCATGTTTGACATGTGATCTAACTTCCACAAAATGAAAAGCAAGACATTCATATTCTAGTTAGTTATGTTAGGTTACCAACCAAGGGTTGTAACTAAGACAAATTAATGAAATCTTTCAACATAAATCAGCAGGGTTCACTCTAGGAATTTTCTGACATTGGCCCTTTACGTGAAAATTTCAAATATTCCCACACTTGTGCATACAGCACAATGCTAAAATGCCCCATTGTATTTGAAAATGTTGGCCTTTTTTCAAATGTTTGGGCTAAAAGCACAAGGCCCCACCCTAGAATTAACCCTGAATGAGCAGTGTTGTGTATTCTACACAGCTGGTGTTGCAGTATTGGACATTTTCACTACTTGGGTGAACAGTGTTAACTTGCAATTATACGATTATTTGATACAGTTACCAAGAGCAAAGATGCTGCCATACATGGTCGGTGACTGTCCTAACTGATTAATGAACTTGTGCAGAGCTCCAGATAAGCTTTTGGTGTTGTGGGTATTTTACCCATGCATTTTAAAAATAATTGGGTATCAGTAATTGTATCTGGGTATTCAAATTTTTGTTACCCACTAGTTTTTACACATGTGGGTATTTAAGTTAACTATTTGAAAACACTATTCATCTAGTCCCTGCAAACTGGTGTCGTGTGGGTTCGAGAGCTTTATAGGACTAAAAAATACCACCATACTTCCACAAGAAAGTGTGATGGCAAATGATCATGATGTAACTGTCATCGTGGAGTTTGGCAAGGTTGACAGAATGCCCGTTTCTAAATTCAAAATAAGTTGCTGATTTGCTAATCGATACGCAGGGTTACTTCACAATATTTTGATGATATGCACAAGTTTTATTTTTGTAGCGTATCTGTAATGTTCGTTGTGTATTTGATACGCTTGGATTTTATTTTACTGCATATTTCTGCATTTCTGATGCAGATACGCAGATACGCAGCTTATCTGGAGCTCTGTTGTGCAAACAAATTGACCACACTTAACACAGAACGTGGTGGGAAGCACTGTCTAAATCTAGTTCTCAAACACTTTGTTTATTGTAAGCTTTGTTATGTATCTCATTGTTTCCAATCCATGTGCAACTCTAATATGTCTGGATAAAAATCTGTCACTTTATAATGCAAGCAAGGGACACTCACATTTTTCACATTAATCATTAATTTCATGCTCATACATGTATTAATTTCAAGACTTACAGTACCGGTATTTCTTTCGCTGAGGAATGGAAAACATCACTTTGGTGAAACCCACAAGCATGGGTAGGGTTTGAACCCACGGTCATAAATAACTCTGTGTTTATGCCTTACACAACAAGTCCACCTGTCCCTTCATTGGATTTTCACTTGCCCTAAGCACAATTTAGCAGTCTCCGGCCAGCGGACCAGTAGGCTCATTTCCACAAGGACATCATCACGTTAATGTTGTTAATGTTTAACTACGGAACGAGATTGTCCTCTGGTTTCATGCAATTTGTAACTAGCACCATCAGGAACAACTTTTTTGGCAGCCATGGACAGTGACGAGTAATGGAATTAAGTCCAGTTCAGGCAGGTTGAAGTGGAGGGTAGAGAGATAGTTATTCGTAATGTGTAATGCTACCAGACATGCACACAAAGGTAAAGTGTTGGCTAATTGGATTGATTTATTAGCCTAGTTTAGCTTCAAGCTGACAACATGGGTTCAATCCTCTACACTGCAATAACTGATATCCGAAAAGGTGCGCCCGTTAAAGATGGTAAAGTGCAGCACTCGCAAAGGTAATGTTAAAAAAGTTCAAGATCAAGAATACAGAACATGTTAATGCAAACTACTTACATGGCCATTAACTTGTGCAAACTTGCTTTCAGTTCCTGGAATAAGAAGCAAAGCACACATTAATCAATACTTCTATCGAAAATGAAAACAAGAACTAGTGTGGCTTTTGAAAAACAAGTTTGTGCCCTGCATGAAACAGATATTGGTTGTTGTTTTTTATCTGGAATCCTTATTCATATTTTTTTTCAATTTAATTAAGCTTTTATATTTGAAGGTAAGAGATTATGAGTTATAATGGTATATAGACTTAAGAAATATTTTTTATGATTTGTAGCTAATCTGAGATGAAGAAGTGTGTACCGTTGTCTGCAATCCTACAGCATACATTTTCCAAACGGGGTAACCCAGTGGTTAAAGCATTCACTTCTCACACCAAAGACGTACCTGGGTTTGATTCCCCATATGGGTACAATGTGTGAAGCCCTTTTCTGGTGTTCCTCATCATTGTATTGCTCGATTATTGCTAAAAGCAGCATAATACAATGTTCACTCACTCACTTTCCTAACGGATAGAACGCCTGATAATAAATGATGATTGGATACTGTAACCACAGCTATGAAATCACCCATCATATTTAGTTCATCTTCTATCATAGTTGATATTGAAGGCTTCCATGAGCTTGCTGAAGGCTTTAAGACTAAATACCCATTAAGGTGCGGTGAAATGGGGTTAAACATCACATCCAAGATTATTGCACTTATATAGCTGTGTGCATGCACGTGTGTGGCTGCTTGTACTAGTCCAGACTGATGCCAATTTATAGTGCTAGCCCATTGAGATACCATGCCACAGTTTATCATGAATACCCCACTCAGACACAGTTTACTGACTTTCAGCCGACAAGTCCTTGTTTTAGCCCCCGAATGTTGAGCGCCAGGCAGGGTAACAACAAGTACCATCTTTTAACGTCTTTTGATATAATGTAGGTGGGGATCAAACCCCAGACCTTCCACTCTCCGGGTGGACACTCTATCACTAGACCACAGAGGCGGTCAAATAACTATTAAGCGTTTGTAAATTTATCATGTTTATTGAACAGTTCCTGAATGTTGGCAGTTTTTGCTCACACACACACCATCAAATACATGATGTTTGTGTGGAATTTACATTGCGACTTATTTACACCCTGAATGATGGTTTATGATTATCATTTTGCAATTGATCAAGTATTTGTCTTAGCACTGGAATTTATAAGAGTTTGTATGGTTCTAAGGGTTTTACCCTTCAGTTCTCATTCTCAGATGATAATGATTATTGGATACCAATGGTGTCATCCGGGGGAAGCCGAGAGCCGCGATGGGGTCCGACAGTCAAACCATGACCGTGACTCCTTCGTCGCTCTCCCCTCGTCTCGACTCTCCGACCGCATCGCGGCTCTCGTCTAATCTAGGGGAGGTGCCGGCAAAGTACATATTTCCGCACACTGTATAATCTCGGAAACGGCTCAGCAGCACTTATACAGATGGAAATATGGACCTATAACGTAAAGCTTTCACAAAGAATTGATGGTATCATGTGATAATTCTTGCTTTCTGTCGAGTACCGCCTACATCCGCTATCTAATGAAATAAGACAAAGATAGATCTGTCATCATATCCAGTTACCACTGAATACTTCTAGGCCTCATTCATTTGAAAAATAGTTTGTATCTTATCCAAATATTAAAGATATCACCCAAAGAAAACCTACCTCCGTCATGATTTGTTTATGTTTCGCAAAGCGGAAATTAAAGGGAGATAACGCTCATGTCATAACTGAGTTTCACACCACTAAATATATTTCTACAACCCCTGCAGATAATTTTATAAAACTTTTAAAACTGCATGAACGAAGTTTGAAGATTTTCGTTCGCAGATTTTTGTAATCGAAATTTGCTTTCTTCCCCTTCATGTTACTCTTTCGGTATCTATAATCACACCATTTGTCATATTCAATTGTGTTATATTAATGAACGCTTTGCAAAGGCGAATGACATGGTCTGTTTGCTATTGCTTCAATCTCATTAAAATCAGATCTTAGTTCTCGCTACCGCTTTGTTTAGCGGTAGCGAGAACTAAGGTCTGATTTTAATGAGATTGGCTATTGCTTGAAAGCAATACACCCTACAACGATCATAGACAGCAACACCGAAAATAGTAACAATAACTATGTCTAACCTCCTTACATAAAACGCCCCAAACGGCAAGAGGTTTTCGCCACAGAAATAACGTCTACAAATGATACAAAGCGGCAACACGTTTGTGACATAACTTGCTTATTATGTGTTTACCATGTTGGAATGGATGAGGTCCTGGATAGCTGCTGTTAACAAAATTTCTCAATCTCATTAAAATCAGATCTTAGTTTTCGCTACCGCTAAACAAAGATCTGAGGCCATCCCATTACGGGTCACGTCTGAACGACCTTCCGCGAATTTTGAACGACCAATGAAATGACTGACAAGAAATCGACATTGGCCAACCAGAAGGCAGCTTTCTCGAGCTTTACGACACTAGTTTCAAACTGGCGACTACGCTTCGAAACATATTTTGACGTATTCTCGATTAAAAAATTTAAAACTGATAAGAAGAACATTCTGAAATGGCTTATACATAGCACAGATTGTATGGATATAATCATAACACTTGTCACTGTCGTTCGGAATACCCCGTGTTAGATATATCGTGGTTGCATGATTAGAAAACACATTCCGACTGTCACTTTCATGATCTAGTAAGCGACGCTCTGATTGGTTGGATGAAAGGTCGTTCTGACGTGACCCATAATGGGATGTCCTCATATCTTTGTTTAGCGATAGCCAGAACTAAGATCTGATTTTAATGAGATTGCAAAATTTCTCAATCTCACTGCCTCGCCATACAAGATCTATAACAAAGGCTTAATAGAACTGTGTTACCGCTTTCGGTGGATAAGGTATGATGAGGACCCGGCGGTTTAGCCAAAATATCAACATTGGGGTGCCAGGTTATGGTCATTTTACAACCAAAAAAGACTAGCAAATGATTCCAGCCATTCAAAACAACACTTTCGTTTGTCTGCTAACCATTCTATCATGTATATTCAACAAGCAGTAAAAATGATTTCATAGATGCAATGCATCAGTTTCTAACATGACACTGTTCATATTGTTTTGATCTAGAGACCTGTGAAGATCCGGGTTAGAATAGGTCTTTAGCAACCCAAAGGCGACCATGCTTGTTGTAAGAGGCGACTAACGGGATCGGGTGGTCAGGCTCGCTGGCTTGGTTGATGCATGTCATCGTATCCCAATTGCGTATCCCAAGACTAGACGTCGGAAACTTATAAACTCTTTAAAAAAAGAAACTAAACATGTACATAACTTGATGTCATGGGAAAGTGAGCTTAAGTTTGGAGATAAATAATGTTGTTATAGAACACATGATGCACAGACTTGCTAACACCAGCCCAGAAACAGGCTAACTGCTCGCGCGAACGCCACCACTAATGATATTAACATTATTCAAAAGCAAATGGGACGTGCAGCACACACCCATAAAAACCTGTTTAAAAAGACGGTAAGGTTGCGAGTGTTTGTTATTCCATTATCCCACCCCGCATTGTGTCCAGATTGACGTTGGCTCAACGCAATAATGCTATTGGTCGTGTACAGGCAGGAATGTTTCAGGGTGATGTCGAGGGCGTGTCCCAGTTCACACTGTTGACCATCAAAAACCTCTGTCCTTGACTTGAACAACCTGAAGTGTGCAGGATGGACCAAGATCAGGACGACCAAGAATAAAGACACCTTTCCATGGCCAGAGGGCACGTGTGGCCTAGTCGTCTAAGCCGCCGCGATTCGCTGTGCAGAGTTGCGTCCCATGGGCACGCCAGAAACCTATGATTGTGGGTTAGAATCCCGGTTCGCACTGATTGTGTTTCTAGGTTTGTCAGCACCATACCCGTGCTAGTGGGTTTCGCCGAAGTGGTAAACGTCAGAGACCTGCATCACTTCGGGCTTTCCTCTCACATTAAGCTGATCCGCCTACCACATTGAGGGATAGGTTCCGAACAGCTACAGAGACAGCCTGGTGTCAGACGAATCTCGGATCAGACCATCATAAACAGACCGACACAAGCTAGCATCGGAGCACGTAGACCAGTCCGACGTAACGCCTTGAAGGTGAGGTGAGGTGAGGTGAAATTAGGTTTAACGTCGCGTCCAAGATAATTGCACTTATATAGCGACGTGCATGCACGTGTGTGGCTGCTTGTACTAGTCCGGACTGATGTCGATTTATAGTGCTAGCACACTGAGATATCATGCCGCAGTTTAACATGAATACCCCACTCAGACACAGTATACTGACTCCGAGCCGACCAGTCCTTGTTTTAGCCCTTTAATGTCGAGCGCCAGGCAGGGTTACAACAAGTACCATCTTTTAACATCTTTTGGTATGACGCGGCCGGGGATCGAACCCCGGACCTTCCGCTCTCCGGGCGGACGCTCTACCACTAGACCACGGAGGCGGTCCGTAACGCCTTGAAACCACATCACATTGATAATGCATGCAGTGGTGTCAGCAGCGCATTTGATGGACGCATTTTGGAGGACAGTCCTGTTAACGGATGAATCTCGTTTACTGCCTTGGCGAATTGACGGTCGTGCTCGTTTTTACCGTCGACGTAACGAGCCACACGCTGTTAAAAGTGTGCGCCACAAGCTGAAATGTTTGGTGGTGGTATTGTCATGGTGTGCTCGTACAGAGCTTGTCCATGTCGAGGAGCCTTAAATGGGCTGATATATGGTGATGGAATTCTGCAACTTCACGTTGTGCCGTTCCTTAATGCACCTGGTTGCATTTTTCAGCAAGAAAATGCGCGATCGCAAATCGCCCGTGTGTGCCAAGTCTTTCTCATGCACAAAACGTCAGAATTCTGCCAGGGCCTGCTCGTTCACCGGAATTTTGAGAAATCGAACATTTGTGTGATAATTTAGGGCGCCGTGTCCGTCAAAGAAGGCCACCGCTTCAAACGTCGCAGGAACGTCTTCTAGTGTTGCATGAAGAATTGAGAAACATCCTCCAACAAGTTCTGCAGAGACTTATTTCAATTTCATGTTTTGCTTACATGTCAAATACGTTTTCATTGAAACTATTTTGAACTCGGAGCTATAGTTTCCTTTTTTGAAGACTAAAATCCGATTTTCTTTTGAAAATCCTAACAATTATTTTGTTCATACTTCTGTAGATGATCAGATCCTAAGTACAAAACTCGTATTAGAAATATAAATAAGGTTTCCGGTAACCTTAATAATTGAGTGAGTGAGTATGGTTTAACGCCGCTTTTTTGCAATATTCCAGCAATATCACGGCAGGGTACACCGGAAAATGGGCTTCAAAGATTTTACCCATGATGGGAATCGACCACGGGTCTTCGGCGTGACAAACGAACGTCTTAACCAGTAGGTTACCACACGGCCCCTTATTAATTGGCATTTCCAGTCAAAAGGGCCCTTCTCATACCTCATCCTGAGTACATTTGTAAGTACATACTATATCAATGGACTTACACTTGATGTTTTTACCTTTGCGTGATTAAAAATGAATTAATTTAGTATTAATTTCTGTTGCTGTAATTCAAGGCTGACATGGATAACCATGTGATCAACCTCTTGATCAACCTCGTGATAGTAGTGTAGGTAGTCCGACCCCGTGCGTGGACCCGCTGATAATGGGTTCGAATCCCAGGTTTGTCCTGATTATGATCGGTTGTTAGTCAACAACTTCGGCTTGTATCATTTCGGACTTTCATTGGACCTAAAACTGACATACCGTGTTGAGCTTAAAAAATACCCAAAGCGGTGTAAAGTCACTAACTCAACTCTCAGCTGACAGGTCCCATTAAGCCTGGGTTCTAATTCCAAGTTGTCGTCCTTGATATACCAGCATTGCAGTAAAGTGACAGAGAAGTTGACCTGCACCATATTAACTTTAAAGCCGACATTTGAGCTGAGACGCTGTTACAACTGAACCGATGTTGGCGACGACGTTTTTAACTACCATTCAGTTACGGTTTCTACAATTCGGGTAGCAAGGGGCGACAATCTTTTTTAATATAATGAAATGCTCTTCTGTATGCTTCATTGAGCATTGTTGACTTTTAAGGAATAGCTTACGATTTTGTGATTATCAGTGGTTTGTGTATATTATCAATATTACTATATTAGTAGAACATTGCAACATGGTCCGGGTCACCAAATTCGTGACACCAACCTGCTCAGAGTTGCGTCCCTTAGTCTTACAGGATGAGCTGATCATGGGTTCGAACCGATTATCATCCTTAGTCCATCAAATCTCCATACACGTGTTCGTAGATCTGATTCAAGTGGTTAAAGGGGCGGTCGGGTAGCCTAGTGGTTAAAGCGTTCGCTCGTCACGCCGAAGACCCGGGTTCGATTCCCGACATGGGCACAATGTGTGAAGCCCATTTCTGGTGTCCCTCGCCGTGATATTGCTGGAATATTGCCAAAAGCGGCGTAAAACCATACTCACTCACTCACTCGCTCAAGTGGTTAAACGCAAAGGACATCGATCACTTTGCCAACTGCCCACACACCCCACCCCTCCCCTTATGTTTTAGTACATGTGACTATAGTTTACTGTATCTTTGGCAGATTAAGGTTTGCAGACTGAAAATAAAAACTGGCTAAAATGACAGCACTCTTAACCCTGTGTTTTTCTAAAATATTTCACACTTCTCTTCTAAAACTGGATCGC